CTAGCTATCCCATTTGTGGTCTTACTAGGAATTCCTTTTCCAATGTTAAGATACAAAATCTAGTAATAGTTTTTAGGAAATGAATAATCTAGTAGTGAAGTTTAGCATATCTTTGAATCTCTTACACCTCATGCAATTAAGCTGTCTGGGCATGCAGTTCCCATTTGATAAGTTGTACTCTAGTGCAGCAGAAGTACATGAAAAAACTTAGTTGTGCCCTGCAACTTTAAGCCAAAATGCTAGTTTTTCGTCTAATTGACTCATACACTGAAGTGACATTTTCTTCTTCCTCTTCATATGTTCTGCGCCTAGCTTCAATTACCTGTCATATGTATACCGATCCACACGTGCAATAACTCAACCATACCAACCCCAATTCCCAATTCCCAATTCACCAAACAGTGCCTAGGGTGTGGAGCTGAGCAATGCCAACTTCGTATGGGTGGTTAGATTTTTGTTGAGGAAATCGGATAATTTCTCACTTAAAAATTCAATTAGTGATTTAAACCGATTTAGTAATTTTCAAGAAAGATTGTCAAACAATCTCCTTTTACAGAATTACCATTCCAAATAAATTTTCAAGAAAACCTAGAGGGGTCACAAGCGGTCCCACTTAAAATCCAGTCTCCTAGACAGAATTTACGTGCAAGGTGTATTATCATAACTAGACCCGTGTATACATAAATATTACGTATACCCGAATAAGAAAATATACCCAAATCAACCGTATAAAACACTACAAATAAACTCGACAAATATATTGAATACTATACTACAATAGAAAAGAAACTACTAAATAAATGCGAAATAAATAAAAGAGATAAGGAAAAAACGCACCCCAAAAAATTGATAATGGAGTTCGGCCAATTTTGCCTAATCTCAGAGCACCGCTCAAACAGCCTGCTCTTATAAATTTTGAGAGAAGAAAAAGAATTATAAAATAATTCTTTTCAATGTTTCGGTACATCTAATTGGGAGGGCTTGAGAGTTAATTTATAACTCTCAAACCATGCTCCTACCACTAATCTCACCGATGTGGGATTTGCAATTGTGCCAAAATTCAACAATGCTAGCTTGAAAATAACAAATCTCCACCTTGGCATAATTTCTAATCTCACAAAAAAATACAAATCTTCTCACAAAAATAACAAACGGTCCTTGCGGTGCTTCCAAATTTACGCCCTCAGGCACCAACTCAAACATGCAGGATGTGAATCAAGTTTAGACAATGTTCAAACTTGGCTCTTGTAACCACCTTGGTCAGCATATCTGCAGGATTCTCCGTAGTTCAAATTTTTTGGAAAAAAATCTCCTTTTCTTCCAGAATTTTTCACACAAAATGATAGCAAACATCAATGTGCTTCGTTCTTGTGTGCAAGAACTAGTTCTTCACTAAGTGAATAGCACTCTGACTATCACAAAATATGTCAATGTGTTTTTGACCAACTCTCAATTCTTCAAGCAATCCTTGAAGTCAAATTGCCTCCTTCACAGTTTCAGTAATCGCCATATACTCTGCCTCTGTTGTAGACAAAGTCACTGTTGACTGCAAAATAGACTTCCAACTAACTGGCGCCTTGGCAAATGTGAACAAGTAGCCAGTGTAGAAGGTCGCTTATCCAAATCACCTGCATAGTCAAAATCACAATATCCAACTATACATTGACCACATGATTTATCCTGATCAAATACTAATCTAACATCTACAGTATTTTGGATATACCGTAGAATCCATTTCACAACTTGCCAATGACCCTTGCCCGGATCATGCATAAACCTGTTTACCACACTAACTGCCTATGAAATGTCGGGTCTCGTACACACCATTGCATACATCAACCTACCAACTGCATTAGTATACGGGACTTTTGTCATGTATGCTCGCTCTTCATCCGTTTTCGGAGATAATAGACTACTAAGTTTCAAATGAGGAGCAAACAGACTACTTACAAATTTTGAATCTCCATTCATACCAAAACGTTGTAGTACCTTGTTCAAATACTGCTTTTGTATCAGACAAAACTTGCTTCCCGTTCTATCTCTACTTATCTCCATGTCGAGAATCTTCTTGGTTTCTTTCAAATCCTTCATCTCGAACTCTTTACTCAACTAAGCCTTCAATTTGACAATTTCAACTTGACTTTTTGACCCTATCAACATATCATCAATATATACGAGTAAGTAAATATAGGACTCATCTTGTAACCTGCGCAAATACACACAATGATCGTATTTGTTTCTTGTATACTTCTGGCCCATCATGAACTGATCAGATCGTTTGTACCATTGCCTCGTTGATTGTTTCAATCCATACAACGATTTGCTCATGAACATGGTTTTCACATTAAGTTGAGCTAGTTTCAAATTCAACTGTGCTACCAAAAGCAACAAAATTCTAATAAAGGAATATTTAATAACTGGAGAAAATATCTCATTATAATTAACTCTCTCCTTCTGAGCGTAGTTTTTAACCACCAATCTTGCCTTGTAGCGAACATCATTTTTGTAAGAAAATTCTTCTTTCTTTGCAAATATCCATTTGCATCCAATTGCCGTTTTGCCCTTCGATAGTTGTGTCAACTTCCACGTCTCGTTCTTCTGAAGAGATTGCATCTTTTCTTCCATAACATTTTTCCATTTATCATTTTCTGTACTTCGAACTGCTTCAGAAAAGGTGGATGGAACATCATCAACAACTGGAAGTGCATAAGCTATCATATCAGCAAAACGAGCAGGTTTTTGAATTTCTCGTCTTGGCCTATTGACGGCAATTGACTCTTGCTGTTGTTGAGGTTCTTGGGTTGAAATCTCTTCATCATCTGACTCCTCTTCTGCTATGGGAGAGTCACTGATGGTGCTATTTGTTGGGCTCACCATTATTTGTTCAAACTCCACTTGTTTTGGCATACACTCCACCTGTTGCGGAGTACCACTGGTCCCATCTTGTGTTACTTTATTCAACGTGACAGATTCGTCAAAGGTAACATCTCTGGTGATTATGGTCTTCTTTGTTTCTAGACATCACAAACAGTATCCCTTAACTCCATCATTAAAACCCATAAAGAGAGACTTCTTTGTTCGTGGATCCAATTTTGATTTATTTACATGATAATATGTAGTAGAACAAAAAATAAGCAAAAAATCATAATCTGCTGCAGGTTTTACAGACCATACCTCTAATGGAGTCTTGCCACCTATTGCAGATAATGGCAAGCGATTGACGAGATGTTGAGTTATGTCACAGTCTCAACCCAAAACTTTTTGTCTAATCTAGCATTAGACAATATGCAATGTACTTTCTCCACTAGTGTTTTGTTCATAAGCTCTGACACCCCATTCTGCTGTGGTGTTCTTCTAACTGTGAAGTGCTGAATTATGCCACACTCTTGGCATATCTTCTAGAAGGGATCATTCTTGTATTCTCCACCATTGTCTATTCGGAGAATCTTGATCTTTCTTCCCGTCTGATTTTCAACTTGAACTTTTCATTTAAAGAAAATCCTTAACACTTCATCATTGTTCTTCATAGTAAACACCTAAACTCTTCTGAAAAAATCATTAACAAAAGTGACAAAATAGTACCTGCCTGCAAGGGATGGAGTCTTGGCAGGTCACCACACATTTGAATGTACATAATCCAAAATACCCTTGGTATTATAGACGCCTGTGCCAAATTTCACTCTTCTTTGTTTTTCCAGAACACAATGCTCACAAAACTCTAATTTACAAGCTTTCGTATCTTTCAACAATCCTTGCTTGGCAAGATTTTGCAAAGATTTTTCACCAGCATGTCCTAATCGCATGTACCATAATTTTGTTACCTCCGCATCCTTCTTGCTATTGGAAGATGTTGCTGCTGCTGCTGTCCCAACAACTGTACTACCTTGGTAGTAATACAGATTATTCTTCCTCACACCTTTTAGCATTACAAGTGCTCCCGAAATTACTTTAAAAATTTCATCTCGCATCTTTACTTCCAGGCCTTTTGACTCCAAGAGCCTCAAGGAGATAAATTCTTCTTCAAATTCGGCACGTACTGAACATCCTTCAAGATTCTGGTGGTTCCATCATGATTATGCAGTTTGATTGAACCTATCCCACTTGCTTTACATGGATTGTCATTTTTCATGTACACAACTCCATCATCAAGTTCTTCAAATTCAAAGAACCACTCCCGCATGGGAGACATATGGTAGGTACACGCTGAATCCAAAATTTACTTATCTATATGGGATGTTAAAGGTGATAAAGCCAAAGAGAAATCTGATTCCGCATCATTTTTGTATTCTGCAACATTCACGTCTTGCGGAGCTTTCCCTTTATTCTTTAAATTTGGACAGTCTTTCTTCTAGTGTCCTTTCTCACGACAGAAAACACACTCATCTTTGGCAACTCTGCTTTTCGATTTGGACTTTCCTCTTCTCCCCTTTGACTGGTTTTGTTGACGACTTCTTGCCACTAATGCTTCATCTGCTGTAGCTACTTTCTTTTTCATTTTATTTTACTTTCTCAATTCATGACTATACAAAGCAGAATATACAGCATCTAAAGACACATTCTCCTTCCCATGAAGTAACGTAGTTTTCAAATGTTCAAATTCATCATGAAGGGATGACAACAATATCAAAGCCAAATCTTCATTTTCAAATTTCACATCTAAATTTAACAGGTCTGCTACTAACTGATTAAACATAGTGATGTGTTCATTCATAGTAGTACCTGATTAGTAATCCAATAGGAACAATCTCTTCTTCATAAGGAGTTTATTCTGACCATTCTTCTTCAGAAATTTCTCCTCCAATGCCCTCCACAATTTCTATGCAGAGGTCTCATTTTTGAAAGCATACTTTTGCTTTCTGGACAAACACGATCGAATAGTTTCGCATGTCAACCGATATATGGTACTCCATTCTTTCTCTTCTATATCATTTGGTTTCTTTTTTTCAATGACAATGTCAAGACCTTGTTGAAAAAGGGAGTCTATGACCTCACCTTGCCACATGCCGAAATGGACAGTACCGTTAAATATCTCCACCGCCAGTTTCGAACTTGACATTGGAGTTCTCGACCATGTAAACGAGGAATCCGATGCCCCAGATGTAATTCTTGACGTGGAATCGTTTGATGCCATTATAGATTCAAATAATAGTATTCAATATAACAAATTACAAACAAGGCCAAAGCACGAACATTCGGCTCTAATACCACTTGTTGGGAAAATCGGATAATTTTTCACTCAAAAATTCAACTAGTGATTTAAATCGATTCAGTAATTTCCAGGAAAAATCGTCAAACAATCTCCTTTAGACAGAATTACCATTCCAAATAAATTCTCAGAAAAGGCTGGAGGCGTCACAAGCAGTCCCATTTAAAACTCAGTCTCCTAAATAAAATTTACATGCACGGTGTATTATCACAATTAGACCCATGTATATATAAATATTACGTACACACGAATAAGAAAATACATCAAAATGAATCGTATAAAACACTACAAGTAAACCCGACAAATATATTGAATACTATACTACAATAGAAAAGAAACTACTAAATAAAAGTGGAATAAATAAAAGAGATAAGAAAATAATGCACTCGAAAAATTGATAACGGAGTTCGGCCAATTTTGCCTAATCTCCGAACACCGCTCAAACAGCCTACTCTTATTTGTAATTCTTTTCAATGTTTTGGTACATCTAATTGGGATGGCTTGAGAGTTAATTTATAACTCTCAAACCATGCTCCTACCACTAATCTCACCGATGTGGGATTTGCAATTGTGCCAAAATTCAACAATGTTGGCTTTGAAAATGTCAACAATGTTGGCTTGAAACTAACAATTTCTAGTTGGACATGCCATTGGCCTTGAAGAAGCTTTACCAGAAGGGTTTCTTGAGAGGGTGAAAGGAAGAGGGATAGTGGTGAATGGATGGGCACCACAAGCTAAAATTCTTGGGCATCGAAACATGGGTGGTTTTGTGAGTCATTGTGGATGGTGTTCTGTGATCGAAACCATACATTTTGGGGTTCCGTTGTTGGCCTTGCCAATGCATCTTGATCAGCCTCTTCATGCAAGACATGCAGTAGAGATTGGTATTGGTATTGAGATTCCCAAGGATGAAGATGGACGGATAAAGAGGCAAGAGATTGCTAGAGTCATAAACGAGGTGGTTGTCAAGAAGAAAGAGGGACAACTACAGAGACAAAAAGCTATAGAATTGAGTAAAAAGTTAAGAGAAGAAGGCGAAGAAGAGTTACATGAAGCAATGGAGAAGCTCAGGACATTGTGCAGCAAAAACAAGTAACAAGACTTTTGGTATTCAGCTTTGAGTTGAGTAGGCCTAATTTGATAAGAATTACATAGAATTCAGTTTTTTTCCTTTGAAATTATTAGATTTTCTAAGCATGTACAAATCGGTCTTAAATAGACGTCTATAATGTTTAGAGAGCATATTGAATCCTTAAGCGTGGTGATTTTAAGTACACAAATTATATATATGTATGAATAACGGACACGAACATGAAAAACAAACTGGGAAATGTAATACTCAACTTAAGGGATAATTATACAGTATAATATTTGACCGTGTATGAATTTTTGTGCTGGAATATTTTGGATCTTGATAGATATGTTGGTAAGGGATACAACTGGTGCTATACTACTTGCTATCAGCAGGAAAAATAAAGATAATGGCCGAAAAGAATGATCCTTTAGATTTCTAACTTGTTTAATTTGCAATGGAGAATAGGGAAAATACCAAACAGACAGATGTTGAATATTATCACCCATTATTGACACGTCATTTACGCATGTCTTACAAATACATTATCAATCACTGATACATGTCTTACAAGTGTTACAACAATTAAAAAACTCGAAACCAAATCATAAAGTCACCCATCATTACACCGGTCATTGACATGTGTTTTATAAGTGTCACAATAATAAAAAAAAATTCGAAGTCATAAATTCACTTGCCATTAACACGTGTCTTACAAGTATATTATTGCCAGTTATTGACATGTGTCTTACAAGTGTTACAAGAGTAGAAAAGTTCAAAACCAAGTCATAAAGTGATACAAATTGTAATTTCTCTATTAGTAGAAATAAAAATTTCTATCGTTTCGAAAAAAAAAAGTCATAAAGTGATACAACAAAGAATAAAAGAAAGGTGTGATGCCATAAAAAGAATAAACATAGCATGCTAGGCAGGCTCCTTGCTTCACCTTGAGGTCTTGAGAACACATAGGATGCCAGGTCAAGCGGTGCGAAGCGTTTACAGAGTATAAAAGAAAGGTGTGATACCAGAAAAAGAGGTATGCTTACATATCTCCTTGATACAAAACTATAAAGCCTAGAATTCTCCTTTCTAACTTGATCGTTGGAGTTTATTGCGAGACCAAACCACGCCCATTTTTACAGGTTATTCACCAAGGAGATATCAAACTTGAATAACATCAAAACAAGATTGTAGTAACTCAACTTCTACATTCAATGGGAAGTATATTTTCTCTTTTCAATCCTATGTTGAAATTTGTGATCAGATAGCATTCTTAAAAAGTCATAGGGTTCGTCGCCTTTGTCAAATTTCATGGTTGGTAGCAAGTTCATGTAACTTTTATCTCAAAGAAAATTATCATAATTCATCATGATCATTCTTCTCATTTATTTAGTTAAATTAATGATTAACAAGATGAAAATGACAATTACCAATACACGGTAACACAAAATTATCCTTCCTACAGCAATAAATACATAACACATTGTTAGGAAATTGGCTTAATTTCTTTTAGGTAGAATTCTTGTTTTGTGTGGAAGTAACTAGTTTTCTAATTGGTTTTAGTTACTTGAATTAGTAGTCAAGTAAAGCCCTATTTAGCTAGATGCTATTTCCTACTCTATATGAGTTTAGGAAATAGTATTGATTTTCAATTATTATTTGATTTTTTGGCAGTAATGTTCTCTATAAATAGGTAGGTTGGCATACTATAAAGATACACAAGGAAAGAGTGAGAGAGTTCTTAGTGGGTGAGAGAGTTATACAAGAGTTGGGGCTTAGGAATTAAGTTGTAATCTTGTGGTATTTTTCCTCTCATAGTAAGAACAAGTATTTCTCTCTATGGACGTAGGTTTGATGATTAAACCGAACCACGTTAATTCTTGTGTGTTGCTCATCATTCGTGCTAGATATAGTTTTTTATTAAATTGTTGGTCTTTTTCTTTTTCAAATAATTGGCCTGATACCCTAACAAGTGGTATCAGAGCTTCTTTAGGGTTTTGGTTAATTATTTGAAATTGAGTGAATTGTTGTATACTATGGGGTTTGGAACTATACAGTTTCCAATTCAACGGTTTAATGGAACTATAAGTTTCACTCTTAGACAAAGTAGAGTGAAGGAATTTCTAGTTTGACAAGGCTTGGCAAAAGCATTGAATGGAAAGAACAAGAAGCCAGAGAGCATGAAGGATGATGAGTTTAAGGAGTTGGATGCAAGGTATGCGAGCACGATTCGGCTCTATGTGGCGGACAATATCATAAATAATGTGATAGATAAGAAAGATTCTGCAGCAGACCTTTGGAAAAAATTGGAAAAGGTTTATCTGGCTAAAAGTTTATCCAATAAGTTGCATCTAAAGCGGCAACTTTATGCACTAAAGATGGTGGAGGGTGGCAGCCTCATGGATCACATGAATACGTTCAACGGAATTTTGGATCAACTCTAAAAGGTTGGCGTAGATATTGTGGAAGAAGATAAGACCCTTTTACTTCTTACCTCAGTCTCTGATTCTTACGAAAGTGTCGTGACAACCCTGTTGTATGGGAAGGACACTTTAGAGTTCGAGAATGTGCAGTCTTCTTTGTTAGATCATGAAAACAAAGGAAGGCAAATCAGGATGTGACACAAGAAGCTGCGTTAATTGCTCGAGGTGAGAATAAAAGAGGAAAACAATTTGACAGTGAATCTAAGGCAAGTGGTTCAAAGGCCAATAGAAAGAGTGGAATTCAGTGCTTTGGTTGTCATGAGTTTGGCCATATCAAAATATATTGCCCTCATCAAAAGAAAAATGATGAGAATGACTATGATGGTGTTGCTGGATATGCATCGGGTGGAGATATTCTCACAATCTCCAAAGGTAATAATATTTCTTTTCGTGATGGTTGGATTTTAGATTCTGAATGTGTTTCACATGTTTGCTCTAGATTAGACTATTTTGATACTCTCCAAAGAAAGAAGGCAGGTTTTATGTGCTTGGGTGATGGAACTACTTGTCAAGTCAAAGGTGTTGAAGTGGTGAAAATCAAAATGTTGAATGGAGAGATTCATTCTTTAGGTGGTGTGGCTTATGTCCCAAAGTTACGAAAGAATCTAATTTCTTTGAGCCAGTTAGACTCTGAGAGTTACCATTTTTCCGCTGCAAGTGGAGTCTTGAAAATCACATATGGCGAGACGGTCTTGTTGATGAGGAAGAAGTATGGTAATTTGTACCATTTGAATGCCTCAATGGATTAGGAGCGGAAGAGGATCCAGAAATGCTCTCAAATTACAAATGGTGGTGAGAGGAAAAGTCCTGCTATGGGAGAGGGTGAATTGAAACTCTTCTCACGAGTCAACTAGATGTTGGACTCGGTTAGCTACACACGTTTATTTGTCAATTGAATCAGTCGAAAACAAGACCGTCTTGATTCGGGTGTGTAGTTAGGCACCAAGGTGCTTGGTGGGAAAAGGCAAATGGAGTTTTGTTGGATGGTTTGCTGTGTTTGCTAAAAGAAATTTTCGTCAAGGTGGAGATTTGCTAGGAAATTGGCTTAATTTCTTTTAGGTAGAATTCTTGTTTTGTGTGGAAGTAACTAGTTTCCTAATTGATTTTAGTTACTTGAAGTAGTAGTCAAGTAAATCCCTATTTAGTTAGATACTATTTCCTACTCTATATGAATTTAGGAAATAGTATTGGTTTCCCATTGTTATTTGATTTTTTGGCAGTAATGTTCTCTATAAATAGATAAGTTGGCATATTACAAAGATACACAAGAAAAGAGTGAAAGAGTTCTTAGTGGGTGAGAGAGTTATACAAGAGTTGGGACTTGGGAATCAAGTTGTAATCTTGTGGTATTTTTCCTCTCATAGTAAGAACAAGTATTTATCTCCGTGGACGTAGGTTTGGTGATTAAACCGAACCACGTTAATTCTTGTGCGTTACTCATCGTTCGTACTAGATATAGTTTTCTATTAAATTGTTGGTCTTTTCCTTTTTCAAATAATTGGCCTGATACCCTAACACACATTAACATGTTATATATCATTAATAATTAATGTTCCTAAGATTTTCTATTGTTCTTGTAAAGTTCCAAATGGATTACTAGGCTTGTGCAAGATTTGATTATTACCGAGAAAGAAGATATATTTTTTTTGGGTGAAGAACCTGTTTTTAACAACTATTATTAAGATAAATAATTCATGTACAGTAATTATGCTACCAACCTTTGCGATTGTCATTTTGGTTGATGTACAATTGTCAATTACAAACTTTGCCCAAGCAAAAAGTCCTTTTGACAGAAATTAGTACACAAAGTTATGGACGAATTATAATAAGAGTTAATCTCATAATAATCATGTCTAACTCAACCATACCAACCCCAATTCCCAATTCCCAATTCACCAAACAGTGCCTAGGGTGTGTGTGATAGAAACGAAATATTTGTGGAAACAAAAATACCATGGTGACAAATCACTTGGAAAAAGCCATTCTACGACAATAGGGAAACGAAATGGTCTAAATTGGGATACAAGGAATGGCATCATGGAGCCTGTTCTGTTTCCCATATTAGTAGTGACCTAACGCAGTAACATACACAAAGGGCTGCCCTCTAACTTTTGTGACTTCAAAATTTCTTGTCTGGGTTTTTCAAAAAAAAAAAAAAAAATTCTTGTCTGATCCAATCGGCTGCAAAGCGAGGCACCTCTGGTCAGCACAATTTTCAGCTTCCCAGTCTAATTTGGCCAGCACCAATGCACCATTGCAAAATTCACGATTTTGGGATGACAATAGGTGGAATTTTTTCTCCCATTTTCTCCCCTCTAATACTAAATTTGTTTGGACAATATTACAGATTCTCAAAATCATATCAACAAACGCTTGAGGTTTTAAGAAATTGGAGTGCGTTCTTGGAGTTATATCTAAAATATAGGAACAAGGTTAGGATTGACAGATTGATTTATATTAAATGCTATCAATTCTGTCTCGAAGTTAAAACGTCTGTAAACTTGATATTTTGTCATTTGTTTTAGTGATGTAACAATAAAA